AGCAGGCTGACCAGCACCGCTGGAGCTAACGATCTCTGTTTTGAGGATCGCTTGCCAGCTCTCGTCAGAGATCTTTTTGCCGCCTGGAGTCCTCATGGCGTGAAGGACCTCGACCTGCAGCTGGTCTGTGAAGCGCTGCATCTGCACGAAGTCGACGACGAACTCGAAGGCGGCGAGCAACTTCCGAGCCTGTTGGCGCTCGTAGGACTGGCCCGTGCGAGGCGCCAGCAGGGAGGCGCTGGCGGGGACCGGCGGTAACTGGTAGAAGTCCCCGCAGAGGATCTTCGCTGGCATGCGCCCCCACGTCTCCTGCGGGAGCATGTACTTGGTAGAATCGAGGTTGTAGCGCAGCGCCCTGCCGTAGGTCGTGCGCAGTGCATCCGCATGCAGCAAGGGCCCCGGCACAGCACCCAGCTCATCGATCACGTCGACGCCGAGTGTGCCTGTGAGGCGGTCGAGCTTTTTCTGCGTCTGCGAGGTCAAGCGCAGCCTGGCGGTCTGCAGGGAGTCCGACATGAGGATGCCGCTGGAGGAGTGCAGCAGCGTCCTCCCGCGCGGGCCGAGGTTGTGGGCCGCGTGGTTGGACTGTGCTTTGGCGAGGTAGCCGTGCTCGCCGAAGTAGATGATGGCCATAGGCTCCGCCACTCTGGAGAGGGTGCGTGTCCTGCCGACGCCGCCTCCTCCGAGCCAGATTGCTCGGTGGTTGCGCGTCGCGGACACCGCGGGGAGCAGATGCGTTGTCTTGTCTGGCCTGCCGTCAAACCGTTTCTGCAGGGACAGCGCGAACAACGCCACCGCGTCAATCTGCTCCTCCGTGCACTCTGCACCAGTGACCAGCTTCCACGCAACGGCCGCCGGGCCCTGCATGGCCAAGAGCTGCGCCACGAGCTCCGGCTGCGCGTCCTCAGCAGCAGGCTGCGGAGCACCACTGGGTTGCCAGTCCCCCCCAACATCGGGCAAGGTCTCTCCATCCGGGCTCGCTTGCTTCTTCTGGAGCGCAATGCTCTGCCGCTGTAGGGCCAGCATGTCAAAGAAGCTGTCGTCCAGCCGCGTGCCCAGATGCCCCCGCGCGCCGCTGCTGGCTGGCTGCGCAAAGCTCGCCTGCAGCATGCCGCCGTACGCTCGGCCCAGGTTCTTCAGCTGCTTATCCGCGTAGCTGAGGCGGCTCTTCTGGCTCAAGCGCTGCAGTTGATCAAGGCCCCTGGAGGGGGGGTGTGCCCATCCGAGGGAACGGCGCACCCCCTCCTCCCCGTCGTGAAAACGAGGCACCAGCCGCGGCAACGACCCCCCCCCCCATATCCCCTCCCGCGACCTGAGTAGACCACCCAAGCCAGCGGGGAGCGCCATAAGGGGGCGGGGGTTCTGACGTCGATGAAAGAAGAAGGAGGAGAACGGGAGGCAAGGAGAAGGCAGACGAAAGCCCTTTTAGGCTTGACCCGGCGTGCGGGCATGCCCTTTTTGGCCGTTGCGGGGGCAGGCCCGCGCGGTCGCCCGCAGGCGACAGGGCGCCCTGGCCCTCTTCGTGAGCGCGCAGGCGCGTGGCGCACTTCATGCGCATGATTGCCCGCTGAAGCGCCCCGCGGCACGACAGCTACGGTAAAAGGACAAATTCGGTGACGCTGGAGCCCCTAATGCGACGAGGAAGCTACAGATGCATCCTCTGTGACACTGGAGCTCCGCAGGACAAGTCAGCTCAGCCTGCCTCAGCCTCAGCCTGCATCAGCCTCAGTCTCAGCCTCAGCCTGCGTCAGTCTCAGCCTGCTGCGCTCCCGCATACCCCTTCGGCCTCAGCCTGCCTCAGCCTCAGCCTGCATCAGCCTCAGCCTCAGCCTCAGCCTGCCCCAGCCTCAGCCTGCTGCGCTCCCGCATACTCCTGCGGCCTCAGCCTGCATCAGCCACAGCCTCAGCCTCAGCCTCAGCCTCAGCCTCAGCCTCAGCCTCAGCCTCAGCCTCAGCCTCAGCCTGCCTCAGCCTCAGCGGCACCTCCGATGGCGCCGAGGTGGCTCCCGCGCGTACCTGCACCCACGGAACTCACTTCCGATGGCGCCGAGGTGGCTCCCGTGCGTACCTGCGCGCACGGAACGCTTCTCCGATGGCGCCGAGGTGGTTCCCGTGCGTACCTGCACGCAGGGAACGCACCTCCGATGGCGCCGAGGTGGTTCCCGTGCGTACCTGCACGCAGGGAACGCACCTCCGATGGCGCCGAGGTGGCTTCCGTGCGTGCCTGCACGCAGGGAACGCACCTCCGATGGCGCCGAGGTGGTTCCCGTGCGTACCTGCACGCACGGAGTGATCTCCGCCGGATTCTCCCGGTTTCTGCCGGCTTCCGCCCGGACCCCCCTGGAGTGTCATGATGTTTTCTTTTCACCCTATTAGAAACCTATCAGCACAAGCTGTTAGGTAAAAAGCGCCCTAGACTCCCGTTGTCTCCCTCGAGCTGAAGGTCCTGAAGGTTGCTTTCGAACCCGTCTGCGACGAATCCTTCGATCTCGCGGCCGCCCTGATGCGGGTCTGCAAGGGCGCGGAACTCCGCCGATCGCATTTGATCGCGCCTTGCGCGGCCTCCGTCGTCACGGCCGCGTCGCCGTCGGCATTGGGCGGATGCCGCAAGGCGCCCTCGGGGGCGTCGACCTGGCGTCCAGCGCCGCGCGCGCGCGCCCCCCCGTCGATCTTCCGATCACAGGCGAAGAGAATGCTCAGAGCGGGCAGCCAAGGAGACATGGGCAATGGCAAGCGGGAGAGCAGCGGCGAGGCCAAGGGCAAAGGCGGCAGCGGCATCTGGCACAGAGTGAAGGAGGACGACCCCGAGGCCGATCTGCTTCCGGCGCAACACCCCCGGAACGACTTGCGAGCAGAAGTGTGGCATGGCCCGCTGTTGCCAGAAAGTGTTTGGGGTTGCGCTTGCGGCCGGGAGTGATCCCGCGCGGCGCGCGAGGGCCCCCGACCCTCGCAGACGCCTGCGCTGGGGCGCACGGGAATTCAGATGCGACTATGCCGGCGCTACAGTTGACGCGTCCGCCGACGGCGATCCAGCTTGCCACCGACGCTGAGTGGTAGCCCGTCGCGCTGCAGTGCACGCGCGGCCTCTCGAGGGGGGCCCATCCGCCGTCGACCGCGGCGTGGAGGACACCGTGGCGGAGGGCGCCGTTGCCGTCCACGCTGGGGCCTTCCCGCCACCTCTGCGGCGGCCGCGACGACGGCTACTTCGACTCGCCGCGTTGTCCCCGATCAAGTGCCCTCATCGCCCATGCCGGGCGAAGCTTTCGTGCGGACGCGCTCCCTTACGGCCGAGCTTCGCGTTCGTCGGCAGGGGTGGCGCGAAGTTTGGACTGCTGGCCGCCAAGCGTTTGAACCCATTCGCCAGCGGCGCGCAGGGCGACCGCTGGGACGTGACTCGAAAGTTCCGCGAATTTGCTCGAGAACGCCGCGTTCCTGAGGCAGTTCCGCGAGCTGCAGGGCCAGGCGTTCCTTTGTCTCTGCGGCCACGGGGATTCCTGCCACGCCGACGTGCTCATCAGGGCCTGCGCGGAGCAGGAGGAGTCTGGCTGCCACAGCGATGGCCCGACGAGAACGAAACACGCGCCCCCAAACCCCGCGCAGGTGCAGGCTTATTCGGCGCGGGGTAGCCCTCCCGGCGGGCCGCGGCTCTTGAGCCTTCAAGACGGCGGCGGCTTGTGTTCGCCTGACCGTTGGGCGCCGCCTGACCGCAGGCGCCCGGCCGCCGGCAGGCAGTACCTCGATGCCCTCGACAGGGTCGTCGGCGAGGTGGAGCCCGAGCGCGGCGAGGGGCATTGGCGCAGCCCCGTTTGCGCGGTTACTTGCTCGCGTGCCGGGGCCGACCCTGTCGACGGCCTTGAGGCGCGCGCGCGCACGAGGGCCGCTTTCATCGTGATCCTCGGCCGCGAGCGGGACCTCAAGCGGGGCGGCTTCGCCAACCACCCCGCCGCCAGCATCGACTTCGAGTTGATCGCCGCGATCGGCGCGCGCCTCGAAAATCCGTGCGCGGCGGTCATGGCCAGGTGCCGCACGGGCGTCCCTCTGCGATGACGTGGGCGACTGCTACGCCCGCCTGCAATCGTCGAGAGGAGACGCACTGGGTGCTGCACGTCGGCCACGAGGGCGAGTCCAGCGAATGGCATTGGAACTACGCTTCTGCGACCCAGCGCCCGGGCGTCATCGCGGACAATTTTCGAGTAGGGGATCGACTACACTCATTGTGTTACCCCAACAATGATTTGCTCGTCGCACCAACATCAATAAACTCAATGTTCGTAGATCTAGGGTCGTCTTAGGTTTTTTGTTGTACATTAGATGGGGCACGCGTGGTTCGTGCACGGCTTCTACAAGAGCAGTACGCAGCCAGTACGCATTCACAAAGGAGGGTTTTCCTGCGCATGCAACATTCAGGTGCGCGCGCGTAGAAGTCCCCAGGTAGATTTCGCACCACAGCCGTGTATAGGCAAACCACATGTTTTGAGAACCGCTCGCCCACCCAGCGGACGGTGGAAACGGGGTGTCTGACGCAAAGCGCGTCCGAGTTTCGTGGTGACGTCTAGTCGGCCGAGTTGCTTATGATCGCACGTGTGGTTCGTGCGAGGCGCCCCAGAGAACATGAAGCAGCCAGTGCAAATTCGCAATGGGGAGTTCCCCGAGCAACTGAGTCATAGCACGCAGCAAACTGTTGCAGCAAATTGTTGGTCGCCGCTCACGGCGCGCTCAAGACTCACACATTCGTGCGCAGCAGGGGGGGGGGCCTTCTCCAGCCAGCGAACTGCACACTACGTTTCTCATGCACCCCACCCGTGCTCCATACCTGCCTAGATGTGTCCTGTGCGCTCAGCTACCGTGCTGCTATTGGTTAAGCCGCCCTTGTCCCCGTGAATCGCATAGGCTACGGACTGGGTGGAGGAGGGGGGGAGAGCAGGAGGAAGGACAGGAGAGAGATGGAGGACTACCCCTCGTGGGACTACCCCTCCCATCGGCCCTCCCTCGTCCACGAGGTACGAGGGCTCGTTCCAGGAGGACTTCTCGGACGATCTGCCAGATGGCAAGCGCGTCGTGAAGAGTAGCGACGTCCAGAAAGTGACGAACGCCGTGGTTCTCGACAAGCACCATCTGACCGCTCTCGCTGCACAGGCAAACCAGACCTACAACACCGGGCTGGGGTTGGAGGAGTAAGGGAGGCAGAATGCTGGCCACGCCAACCGTCTGCTCCTCCTCCTCTTGCTCCTGGCTTTCGGCTCTCCACCTCAATTTCCGCCTCCACGCCATCCAGAAGGATTCCAGACAATGCCATGACAGAGAGCTTGGGTCGGCGTGCCTTGGATGGTCGAGTCGGCTTCCACCTGTTGCGGCGATCTGGCCGTTTCATATTCCAAACGGGGACGGGAGGGATCCAGCTCCTTGCAGCAAGTCCTGCCACCGTGCCAGCCCAGCATTCTAGGTGGCGGCTTTTCGAGGGAGCACTGGAAGACGTCACACGTGAAACCTGGTGTCCCCAGGGTTGGAGAGCTGTAATGATGATGATGCTGTTGATGATGATGGTGGTGGTGATGATGATGATGGTGCTGATGATGATGCTGATGATGATGATGATGATGATGATGATGATGATGATGATGATGATGATGCTGATGACGATGATGACGACGATGACGACGACAACAACGAGCAGGAACAGAGCAGGAGCAGGAGCAGAAGGAGGAGGAGGAGGAGGAGGAGGAATGCCGTCACACGTGACACATTTCGCATTCACTATTTGAGGAGCTCCCGTGAAATTCGTTTGAGCCGTCTTGTGTCAGTCCTGGTCTCGTGTGAGGCACTCTTGCAGGTCCCTTGGGGCCCTCTTGGGCCATCTTGGGGCCCTCTTAGGCCGTCTTGGGGCTCTCTTGGACCGTCTCGGGACCGTATTGGCAGTATGGTGGGTGACTGGGGGCAGTCTTGACCCTTGGAGCCGTCTTGGGCAGTCAAAGGGCCTTGTGAGACCGTCTTGGGTCCCACGTGAGGCCCTCTTGGGCCGTCTTGGGTCCATCTTGGGTGATTATTGGGTTTTCGTGGCGTCCTTTTAGGCCATCTTTGACCCCTTGGGCCGTCCTAGCGTGATCGTAGAGGCTTCTTGGGCCGTCTTGAGCTGACGGATGCCAGAACATGCGAGAATGTGAACATCATTCAAAACCTAGAAGGCAATCAATCGTTTTGGTTTCTGCGGGCCCTGTTGGAGGTTCTCATGGGGCCCTTTTGGGCCCCTCTTGGAGGCAGCTTTGGCCGTCTTGAGGCCTTTTTTGGCCGCCTTGGAGCCACCTTGGCTTGTCTTCGAGGCATCTTGGGCCATCTTGGTCGTCTTGGTTGCCTGCCTGGGTCGTCTTGAAAGCTCAGGACGCCGACACACAATTTTTAGTAAGGGATCGCGTTGAAAGCGCAGATCCACAGCTTTTCCAGGGGAGTCGTAGCTTCGGGGGCGGGGGCCTGTACTGGGCGCGGCGAGAGAGGGTGTCTCTTATCAGAATGCAAACAATCCTACACAGTAAAATGCCCACAGCGTGCAGGCACGGTGGCGGACTCAATACGTAAGGGCTTTGACGGTCAGAGGGCGGGGAGGAAGACGCGCATTTGGAGCAGGAGTATGTGCATGGTTTTTTGTCCTGCTGTCAGTTCCGTATGATTTCAACCTTGCTCCGAACTCTCCTGTGCGCCCGCACGGTTGTCCTCGTCTCGGCATCCACAGCGCCCCGCTGCATCTCCCTCTCCCCCTCTCCCCCCTCCCCGCTGCATGCGCGCCTGAGCGCACCGCTCACACGCGCCGTCCGCCTCAGGGATATCCCCCCGCGGCCCCAGCAAGGAAAGCGTGGGCGGCGCACGGGACTCTTGGGGCGCGCAATGGGCGCCGGGCCGCGTCTCCTCTTCGCCCCTGCCCCCGAGGAGGTCCTCGTGCACTACAAGCAGATGCTCGAGACTGGCGCCACCGCTGGTGAGTTGGCGGGTGGCCTGAAGGCCATCCAGGAGCACCGCAGCGCGTGATCGCTTTTTTTCCCAACAGTCTGGGGCCTACGTAAATTTTCACCGCCCACGGAAACGATCTTCCTGGACCAGGGCCCTCTGGGTATGTGGATGTGTCCAGGCGTGGATATGTCCAGGCCCTCTGGGGCCCCAATATATCCACATCCGCCACCCCCTGGGGTCCTGGGGAACCTATTCCCCAGGCGGTGGATATTGACAAGTCCCTGCCTCGCATTCCTTTCTCCTCCTCCTCCCCCTTCTCCTCGTCCCAATCTGACTCTTCTTCTAGAGCAACAAACCGATTACCGCAAAAATTACATCTGGGGGTCCGCAGGGAGTTTTGTGTCGACGCTGAAGACCCCCCTCCTGGCGGAGTGGCGGCGTCTTTTGGTGTAGCCCCTGGCGCGCTCCGCTCGCGAGGGGAGGGGGTCTGGTGCCGACCCAAGAATGCTGCGCGGACTTGTGAACGTGTATGAGTATGTAGCCCCTGGTTCTTCTATCCTCCCGCTCGCCGTGGCCTGAAGCCTCTGCCAAGGCCCGCGCTCCGTCGCCACCTCTTCGAGGACTCTTCCTGCTCGCCCACCTCTCGCTCTTTCACTCCTCGCCCTCCTCGCCTCCTCCCCCTCCTCCTCCCCCTCCTCCTCCTCCTCCTCCTCCTCCTCCTCGTCCTCCTCCTCCTCCTACCGTAGCCGTTTTGGCTCAAGATGGCACGCCATCGCGAGCGCAGCGTGGATACCGCTACTCCGCGGCCGCGGCGTTCCCGTCGCTCGGACGTGTCTGGCTCTTCGCATCGCTGGAGCGATTCGGCGTCAGCTTTCTCAAGATCGACGGTGTCCGTCACTTCATGTTCCCGATCTAGGCTGGCGTGGCGCAGGGCTACCCTGCGAGCGGCTCAGCGTGGGCGATCGCGACGGACCCGATGGTGCGCCACCTCGCTTCGTTCGTCGAGACGGTCGATGGCACTCCTGACTACGACCAGGGCTACTTCGGTGTGTGCGCGGACGACGCTGGCCTCCTCGCGTTCTCGATCGACGCGCTGCGCCGCGCATCTGAGTCCTTTTGTGCTGCTGAGGAGCTCGCGCTCCTCTCGCTCAAGCCTCGCAAGTGCGTCGTCGTCCCGCTCTGGACGAAGACAACGCCTGCCACCACAGCCCTAACGAAAGCCCTCCTGGCCGACCTCTGTCCCTCCTGGGAGGGCTTTTCGGTCCCGGGGCGAGCCAGGTACCTCGGGACCTTCCTCGGACCCTCGGCCTCTCTCGCCTCACAATGGCTTGCCCCTGGGCAGAAGTGGTGGCAGCGTGGTAACTCTCCCCAGCCTGTGCAAAGAGGCAGTGGCGCCACCGTTCGCTTGCACGACGCATCGGTCGCATCGGCGCTTAGCTATGTCTCACAATTCTTTCCGCTTGATCTGAAGATCACTCGCCGTGAACATTACATCTTTCGTAAAATGCTCAGGCTGCCGCCGAATGCGTTTTGCAAAGCAGTTCTCATTGCAATGGCAGGGTGGTGCCCGCCGCCTGTCCCACGATCTGCTCAGTTCTCTGCCGTCGCCGCCGCATTTCGTTTTGCAGCGTGCACGCTGCGTGGGGAATAGGGACTATTTCGTGCGCGTCTGCGAGACACCGCGTGGGAGGAGAGCACGGTTCACTTCCTCCACCGGTGGGGGGCTGGGCAGTGGTCTCCGCCCTTCTGGGAAGAGGGCATTTCCATCGTGCAATTCTACCATGCCCTGTCCTGCGGCAAGCGTGCCGCGCCGTTTGCTGCAGCTGCCGTGGCCGCGGCTAACCGCGCAGCTGCCCGCGAGCTCCGTGAGGCCCCAGCCGCCGAGCCCCCGCGCCGCCCTGAGGTGCAGCGTGCGGTCGCGCTCGCACTTCAGCGCGCCTCTTTATCGTCGCCGTTCACAGTCACTCTCGAGAAGCGCATCGCAGCCTGGGGCATCCATCAGCCGCCCTCAGCCCCAGAGCTTGCGACGCGCTGGTCCGCTCTAACCAGCGCACTCCGCAAAGTCCGCCCCAGCTGGCGCTGGGCGGTTTACAATACGCTTGCTGGGGGGTGAACGACCACTCTCCGCATGCACGTCCTCCAGCAGAAACAGTGCGTGTTTGGGTGCCAAGCGGCACCCGATTCGTTCCCTCACTATCATTTCTGTCCTGGCCTCTTGAGCCTCCTCTGGTCCCCCGACTCTCCCCCGCTCCGCAACGCCCTTACAAACTGGGGCTTGGGCCCTGCCGCAGCCGATCCGTCTGATCCTGACAGCGACCTCTCGTTGCTGCAGTCGATCCAGCGGACAGCGCTGGCCTTCAACCTGTACAACAAAATGAAGCGCGCCACGCCGACCCCAGCCACGATAGCTGAAGAGTTGAGCGCTGCCAAAGCATTGCTCTGGAAGTAGATCGGCGCCAGCGGACGGACGCGCGCGGACAACTTGCCCTCGTCTCGCCTCTTGCCCGCTTGCCATCGTCTCTTCCTCTTTGAGTACGTGCACTCCTCCTCCTCCTCCTCCTCCTCCTCCTCCTCCTCCTCCTCCTCCTCCTCCCCCTCCTCCTCCGTAGCCATTGTGGCTCAAGCCATTTTGGCTCAAGTTGCCATATCCTCAAGGCAGCTGGCCAGGTCAGAGCAGGGCTGCTCCCGACTCGGCCCGCGACACAAGGGTCGGGGGTTGACCCTTTTTCGCGCTCCAAGGCATTTTGCCACCCAGTTTGTCTATCCAGACTCCTGTCTCGCTTCCTGGCAGTGCAATGGCCGCTGCCGAGGTATCCAATGCCCAGTTGCTCCAAGTTCTAGAAGGGATGAACGGCGGCATGAGCGCCATGAGGGACGACATCAAAGATGTCAAACAACGTCTCGTCGTCGCTGAAGGACTGGAGGAGAAGATTTCCGATCTCGAGCTCGCCATGGAGGACAAGTTCGAAGAAGCTAAGAAAGCCCACCAAGCCCTCGTTCTCGACATGGACCTGAGTGTGTCTCGACTCGAGCATGCTCATCAAGAAGCCGCCACCAACGCTGCCTTCTTCGGCACCGAGGACGGCAACCCCACCGCCAAAAATGCAGGGCTCGAGATTCAGCGTCAGATGAATGAGAAGATGGCCAGGCTCGAAGCGTCCCTTGCCGAACTTCAGCGAGCTCCGTCCGATGCAGGCTCCGCTTCAACTCGGCCGCCATCCAAGTCTCGTCGCTTAGGAAGGGGCACCGGTGCTGGCTCCAGCGCTTCCGAGATTCCAATGATCGATCTCGCCAACGACGAGCACAACCAGATCGACCCTACCAGACGGTGGATCAGCGGCTTTCCTCGTCCAGTCACCGAGCCGTATAGGCGCACAGTCTTCAACCAGATGAAGAGCCGACTTCCTGCCGCCATCAGCGAAGGGATGACAGGTCACTTCCACAAAGTATCTCAAGCGTTCGCCGTCACCTTCAACTCTGAGCAGAAGGCCCGTGACTTCCACGACTGGTTCCTCGCGAACCCTGTGACATGGCAGGACTACCGCAACACCTCCCTCCATCCACTGAGATGCCGCAGGGATATGCCGCTGCAGGCCCGCCAGAAGAACCGCGTCCTGAGCGCCCTCTGGCCGCTCGTCCGCAAGCACCTCGAGAACGCAGGGAAGTGGGGCCCGTCAACCAAGATCGACACCAACCCGTTCAAAGGCGCGTTCAGTATCACCACCGAGAACAACCGCTGGGGGATCTCCAAGCTGACCGACGCTCCTGGAGGCATGTACGAGCTGAAGTCGATTAGCGACCAGCTCTCCGAGTGGAGCATCACCGAGGCGACCGCCAACTGGATGGTCGAGCAGGCCCAGGCCTCCGTCCAGCAGTACTGAAGTGATGCCAGCCTAGTATCGTGGGCTAATTTTCTGCCCTCTCCCGTTGCCTCGCTGCCTCTGTCGCCCGAGTCTTCTGATCTTTGTTCGCCTTCTCTGTCGAATGCTAAATTCGGAGCCCGGCCGCCTTCGCCTGAGAACCCAGCCAGTTCTCGCCTCTCTTTTCCGCCATCCCTGGCCAACGGTCGAGGCATTCGGATTGCTACTTGGAACTGTCATACCCAGTTCGGCGCGGTCTCTGGGGACCACGACACTCAGGCCAAGACTTTCGATCGACTCACTAACCTAACCAGAGCAAACAATATCATTTGCTTGCAGGAAACGCACGGCCATCAAGGGGATCGCGAGTCGTTGCGCACCGAGTTCCCTGGCTATGAATCTTTCTGTACGTTCTGTCCCGACAGTCACGCTGGCGGGAACACGATCATGCTCGCTCGCTCTCTTCTCGCTCTGCTTCCTCAACATCAGCACAATGTGATTATTCCTAGGCGTCTCCATGCCGTCACCATCCAGCCCGACTCTTTCTCGCTTACCGTCTTGAACCTCCATCTCGACCCGAGCTGCCGCCACAGAGAGAAAATAAGGATTCTTCGCTTATGCGCCGATTTTTTTGGACACTGTCCAGGGCCTGTTTTTCTTTGTTGGAGACTTGAACTTTTGCGAGCTGGGCGAGGGTACCCAGCGAGTAGACGGCTCTGTGCAGATCAACAGCCCCGACTCCCTCGCCCATAAGTTATGGTCGCTCTTGCCTAACGTTATGGAATGCTACCGAGAGAACCCGACCCACCACACAACTCGGAATGGGAATGTGGTTAGTGTATCCAGGATCGACCGTATGTATACCAATATGTTTACTGGGGATATCTTGGATTTGAAACCGACCTCTGGGACCTCCTGGAATATTTGTAAAGCCGACCTCCCGAGCGACCACGCCCCGGTGCACCTGCATCTGAACGGAGGTGGAGACAACCGCGCTCGTTCCGTCGCCTCGTGGGTTTCTCGTCACCCTCTGTATCCGATCCTGCTTGAAAATCTGATCAACGAGCACGGGGTATGCGAAGATAACCCGCCGCTGATGGTTGAAGAGCTCACGCGCCTAATGCACGAAGCAGGACGTCTCGTCCAGCATCGCCTTTCAGAGCTTCCGCCCAGCTCCGCCGAGCAGCATTTGCAGTGGCTGTTCGCGGTGAATCGCGCCATGCGGAGCCACGAGATAAGCACGCTGAAGAAGGCTGTCAAGGCCATCCCCGTGCTGCTCAACTTTCTCGACCCTGACTGTGGCACGTGGCACAACCAGTCAGCCTTTCAAGAGTATATGGCCAAGATTGCTGCCGCCCGGTACCAAAAAGAGTACGAGGAGGTCATTGGGCATACCACGGAATCCCCGCAGTTTTATGAGCGCCGAGCTGCGCGTCTTCAGAGACTGGCATCGGCCTGGTCGCCGAAGAATCGCAGAATATTCCTCGCGGGCATCGCGGATGCCGAGGGGAACGCTTTCCCGACTGCTGAGGCTGGGGCTCACGCTCTAGCCGCTCATTGGAGTCAAGTTCACGCCTCTGCGTCATCCCAAGTTGCCGCGAGGGACCAGCTGGAGGAACGTATTCAAAAAGTGAGGGAGGCTCAGATTTGGAGGCTCTCTGAAGAACAATTTTACGGAGTTTTGGATCGGCTTCGCGATTCCGCCCCTGGCCCTGACGGGCTTTGTTATTCTGCCTGGCCCAAAGGGAACTTATGTGTTAGGTGGGCCGCCTACGCCATGTACCAGCATATCATGGATTTCGGCCAGGTTTCAGACGATTTCATCCTCAGCAACTCGGTCTTCCTCCCCAAAGGTTCCCTGGACCGCGACGGTTTCGAGCTCTGGAGGGCCCCTGAAATGACCCGTCCCATCTCCCTCTCCAACTCGATCAACAAAACTGTTGCTGTCGCGATCAACTGCCGCCTGAAAGAGGTTTGCGCGGGCGCCGCTATCGGGGTCCAAAGGGGCTTCGTCAAACACCGTAACCTGCTTGACAATCTGATTGAGTTCGAGACACACATGGTCGTAGGAGCAGGTCTGTTATGGCGACAGACTGCAGGCGCTATCCTGCTGGACATTAAGGCCGCTTTCCCAAGTTTATGCCACGATTGGATATTTTTCTCGCTCGAGAAAATGAACTTCCCCGAGTTTGTTCTGAATGCAATAAAGACGCTCTACGCCAAGGTTACCACCACCATTCTCCTGGGCGGAGTGTCTCACTGCTCTTTTCGTATCCTCCGAGGGATAAGGCAAGGATGTCCACTCTCGGGAAGTGTGTTCGCCCTGGGGTTCGACCCGATATTACGCTTGCTCTGTCATCGGCTGCCCCGACCTGTCCATTTGCACGGTGCCTTCGCCGGCGACGTTGCCTCCGCCGCCTTTGATATCTACACGGCCGTGCCCATTTTCATGAAAATTATGACGCTTGCAGGGCGCGCCGCGGGCCTCGTTCCGAACCTCAAAAAAAACGGTGATATTATTTTACCGCGACTCTGACAGGGAGGAGGAGGAGAGGAAGTTCCAACGGCAGGGGATCAGAGTTCGGAGCTTCGGGATGTCTAAGTGTGCCAAGTATCTGGGTGTGATGTGCAGAATCAGGGCCCAGGAGGAGTTTTGGGCCGCCCCACTGGTCAAGTTCCGCGACCGCTGCCGCTTCATTAAGTCTTCGAAGTTAGGCCTGTCGATGTCTCTCGTGGCGTACAACCAGATCGCAGTCATTGTGCTCATGTTCATTGCCCAGTTCTTTCCACCCACGGCCGAGTGCAGTTGGCAGGTGCATCTTGGGCTACAGTCGCTCACATGCGCTCCTCGGCATGCCTTGTCTGATCATATGCTGGTGGGAATGAAGTCTCTCGGGGGGAAACTATCTCGGGCCAGGTCTCTCACGCGCGAAGCTCGTGCCGCTGCATATCGTGCTACCCTCGCCGCTTCCGTCTTTTTCGCCTGCGTCGAGAAAATCGAGGACGCGTCCGATGACCCCGAATGCCATCTGGACGCTCATCTTCATCCCGTTTATACCAAGTCTTTCGTGTTAGTGATGAACCAGAACTATCGTGAGTTACCCCGAATCCCGTCAGCCCCCACCGTCTTCGAGCACGGGCTTCAGAAGAAAATGACCAAGCTTGTGCTCGCCCACCAACCCCTGGTCCCATTTCCAGAGCTTATCCTGAGGCGTCTCCAGCATTGGGCCTCGAGGTTTCCTGAAGCTGGTCAAGTCGGGGCTCTTGAAGCCCAACTGTGTTTCTCTCGGCTAAGAGTGGTCGGCCAGCACATTGCTCCCTTCGTACAACTCAGTCTGTTGCGTAGTATATGCAACGCCTGGAATACCTCTCGGAGATACCGCCAGGCCACGCTAGGATGCAGGTTTGGATGTCAATGTATTGCTGGTGACCAGATCGTGCATTACCTTGTCTGTCCTGCTCTTCTCGGAGTGATGCGTGCCAATCTGCCTAGGCTCCCACCATGGTGGGGGGCGGAGGTCTTTGCTGGGCTCCTTCTTTTTTTCCATGCCTCTCTCGCGCGATGAAATCGTCTCCATCGCCATAGCACACGATGTTTTGTTAAACACGTTTAACAAACTCAGGTCCGAGGGGGCCCAAAGCACATCGCGAGCCATTCGGCTTGCTGCAGGCCGGTTCCGCCTTATCTGCCGACGGGATGCCAGAGCTCGGGCTTTGGCGCGGCGATAGGGCATCTAGCGATGTGGGCGCCTCGGATGACCTGCCAGATGGGATCGGGTCTCCTCCTCCTCCTCCTCCTCCTCCTCCTCCTCCTCCTCCTCTCTGGCCCTCGTCCTCTTTCTCCTCCGGTCCCAGCCCGGGAGGGTGCCTTGCCCTCCGTTTTGCCCTCCGGCGGCCCCCCCCTCCCAGGACCATCGCAGCGCGTGGAAGGACGCGGTGGTGCAAAGCAGGGGCGCGATCGAGAATTTCAAGGCAAGCCAGGGGCGGCCTGCATTTCTGCCTCGTTGGGATTCTTTGGTCCTGCCCAGATCCGGGGCCATTGCCGATCGTCGGGGCCATGGCGCAGTTCCCCGATTCGTGGGAAACGTGTCTCCTCCTCCCTTAGAACCGCTCGCCTGGGCAATATTGCCAGGGGCAGTTCCTTATGTTAGCGTCTTTGTTTGTCTAGGGGGCAGGATATGTCCGCCCAGGCTGGCGCTCACATCAAGCAGCGAAAAACGCGTGGCAGCACCACCTGAGTCTCGCGGCTGTTCTCCGTTCGCCTCCCTCGGGCGACGAAATCTATACATCTCCACTGCCCCTTGGCCGGGCACGTCTTTGCCCCAGGAAATGTGTATGTGCCTTCGTACCAAAGCCGGGAGGGCGTGGCGAATTCACCGCTGCTGGGTTCAGGATGGGCCTGGCCAGGGAGCAGTGGGTGTGGCCCTCCTCCACCGAAAAATCCCAAAGGCAGCCAGGGACGGCCTGGAGGACGCGATCAAGGTCTACGGCGACACCCTCGAGTCGCGGTGAGACCCTTCGCCAACGTGAGCGGCCCGCGCCCCGCCCCGCGCGAGGACGGCGGCCCGCGCCCCGCGCAGCCCGAGCCCGGCCAGGCCAGAACGGAGGCCGGCCACGCGCACAGGGGGGGGGGCAGAGGGGAAGGTCCCCCCTCCCCCTCGAGTCCAGAAAAAATCGCGACGGGGTCGCCGCCGCTGCGGCGCCCGAGGCTGCCGCCGCGCGGCGAGGCGCCTGCTCGAGGGCGGAAGCTGCGGAAGGGGCTATGGGCGAGGGGGCCGCGGCGGGGGGTCCAGACATGCTCACATGCGTCTTGAAACGCACGTACAGTGCTCAAACCATCTGTGCTAATTTGGGCGAGCGCATCGCGTCTCATTTACGTCTTCTGCCTACATGCTGAGCTCGTCTATCGGGGCAGCTAAGCCTCGCATCGTAAAACAAATCATGACGGGAGGGTTTTGGCCATGGTCGGCCTCAGGGGGCCCTCGCCGGGGCTGGGGACCGTCAAACAAACCTGCTCAGGACGGCAAGCCGGCCCTGGAGGAGAGGATCGGGGCCTCCGGGGGCTGCGTGTGGACAAAAGCGAGGACGTCTCATGTCGGGGGTGACTCCGCGGACGACTTGTGTGCACCGTGCCGCGCTGGCGTCTCCCGAGGCGTCGTCGATCCTCGGCCCAGGAGTGGCACAGTGCACAGTTTCTCGACCCCTGGGGCCGAACTACTCACTACTCTGCACCGTGCCGCATCGGAGTGGGGCCTGAAGGGAGTCCAAGCATGGTGCGGAGCACGGGTGCCGTTCTCGTAGTGGCGTTTGGAGAGAGTGGTCGACGAGTGAGCCAGTGCCCCTGGCGGCGGGTGCGCCCCGAGTTGCCCCGAAGAGCCAGGTCCAGGATCCGCCCGGAGGAGGCAGCAGAAGATCCCCGGCCCCGCCCAGACCTTTCTCGGATATCCAGTGGCCTTGGGCCCATCCCGTCTATTCTAATTTCCTGTAATTAGTTCGGGGATGCCGTCGGGGATCTTTCGGAGGCTTCTCGGAAGCATCTCGGATGCAGTTCTGGGGTGTCGTGGGGGCCTCTCGGGGGACTCTCAGAGGGCCTCTTGGGGTCTGATCTTGGCCTCCTGGAGCTTGTGGGGGGCCTCATGGGGGCCTGCTGGCAGTCTCGGGGGTTATTTTAGGCCGAAGAGCTCGAAATGTTGGTTCGCGTTCCCCCTCTGTGGTCTCTCTTTGGCCATCTTGGAGCTCTAGCGGGCCATCTTGGCGGCCTCCTGGACCGTTTTGAGGCCATCTTGGGCAGTCTGGGGGCGCTCTTTTTGGGGGAGCCCGCTTGGGGCGTCTTGGGGCCTCTTGGGCAGTCTGTGGGCCATCTTGGGCGTCGTGGAGCGCTTCCAGGCCGCCTTCGAAGCCTCTTGCGCCCTCTTGGGCGTTTCTCGGGGCCCTCTTGGCCCGTCTTGGGCCCCCCTACCATTTTGAACAATTATACGGGAAAGTCAGAAAACAGCGCGGTGTTCCCAGAATTTTTGAGATCTTGGGCCCCCTCTGGCCCTGATGAGAGCATTCCTATATTGAACATTGAATTCAGAGAACTCCAGAGGCCTGGGGAACACTCATGAAAACTCCACTTCGAGCCTCGAGGCACGGCGGCTGATAGCCAGGACCCGGGGTAAGGGGAGCTGGTTTGTGATTGGGCCTCGAAGCCCAACAAGTGGACAGGAATCACTGAACCAGGTCTGCCGTGGCTTCGGATGGCGACGGTACACATCACCAAACCAGGCTCCACTCCTGAGCCCAGTCCTGCCAACGCCCAACGCTCCTAGAGACACCTCTTCGGGATCCGAGCGCAGAGTTCGGCAGCTCTGGGAAGAGGGGACAGGGCCCCGCGTACCTGGACGCGGACTCGCCGGAGCCCCCGAGGAACGCGCCCACGCCCAGGTCCAACGCCACGGCCACGTACGTGCCAGCCCGCTTCGCCGACCCCTCCAGGCGGGCCCTCGCCAGCTTTGCTTCGGAGGAGGCAAGGGGGAAGAGGGGCAGGGGTGACGAGCGTGGAAGGGCGAGCGTGGAGCGATGAGCGCAGATGAGGACGACGAGAGTATGGGGAGAGGATGAGGGAGCAGATCGATGATGAGGAATACAGGATGATGAGGATAGGCAGGGTTGCGTAAGAGAGTGGGAGGAGGGGGAAGAGGATGTGCAGGTGGTGGATGGTCGATTACGAGATGTAGGGAGACGAAGAGGAAGTGGAGAATAGTGACAGACGAGGATGATGAGGAGGAGGGGAAGGAGAAGGAGGAAGATGGTAGCGAGGCGGCGGTAGTGGAGGGTCAGCGGTGCGAGGAGAGAAGGATAATGAGGAGGGTGTGACATCAGAGGAGGAGGGGGAGAAGTGGATGACGTGCGTTTGCGTTTTCGCGTAAGGGTTCGCATCAAACAAGCATGGTAGCTAGGCGGCATGCTTGCGTCCTGTTGGGATGCGCTGGCACTTCTTGATGCTTTCAGCTGAAAGGAGCCAACACTCGGTAGAAGGAGCGCAGTGGGAAGCAATGACATGTGAGGACAGTGTCTCCGCCATCTCGGGCTTTTGGGCTGACGCCGCCACAGCCTTTACTTGTGGGGGCACATCGATGGAAAAACCTTGGGGGCTGCGAGCAGGTATCCAATGGGCTACGTGATGCTGTTCGGTGGGAATGTCGACCGATGTGCTAGCAATACCATGGATGTATTGGACATCTCCTCAGCTGCGCCAGTATCCTCGATCGCTGGGGTGGAAATAAGGGCACCAGCGTTAGCAGGGATCGCACAGAAGTTGTTGTTACCCGCTCGGAGCTTGGCGTAGCTTGCTGGCTGGAGAAACCGTCCAGGGCAGACCCTGCTGGTGGCGTCCAGGCTGCGTTTTTGTTCGCCGCCCTCTCTGTACCACGCTGCCAGGAGTGTGGTGGCCGGACTGTGCCGACAGTCTTCCGCTTTTGTTGTCGCTATTGCTCCATCGTTCCATATCATATGGTACCAACTTGGTCCATCCCATCTTATCCGGTCATTTCTTGTCCCGTCCCATTTGGCCTCTTCCCATCCTGCTCCATCACGTCATCCGCTCACTCCACCCGATTCCAGACCAGGACTTGTATATTTGAATATGGTTTTTTTTCCAATGACGTAAGATGCTCCATCTCAGGAGTGCTGCTCGATGGTGCTACATGTGACTGTGTAGTTACGTATACGTTCACCTGTTTCTTAATGCTATGTGAGGAGCTTGTCGATCTGTCCACTTGAGCGGCTTGTTATGAAGTGTGTCATCGATGTCTGGCCAGAGCCCATGCTAACAAGCATCGCCCGCAAAGAGTATGTGGGCACGTCGCCCTCACGCGAGTCGAACGCTTTTTTGACCGATATGGAGCGCAAGCGGCATCTGGCAGCGCGAGACCAGGGCGTCACCTGGCCTGTTTGCCTGGTTGCCCAAGGCGCGGGGCGGCTGGCTATTTCGAGGTGACATCTGCAATTTATGAAGGTTGTTCAGCAGAGCTGCAATCCTCATGAGCCTATCTAGCATATTTGCGTGCACAGGGGAGCTGGCATCGACTGGGGTACATGCCTCTGGCGCGGGCGGAGGCTCGACGCCAGGGCGCCCGCCTGGCCCCACGTGCGACCCACACAGACCCCTTCGGGAGTGGCCGGCTTGCCCAACCCTGCCCTGGAAAACATAGCCCCCGCAGTCGCGGGTAAGAGTGAGAGGGCGGCGGGGTCGTCAACAGTCTGCGAGCTTTTGGAGAAGCCCGCCGCAAGCACAGTTGTTTTTCACAATTAGGCTTGCCAAAGGGGTTCTTACTTGGTTAAAGATGGGTGTCTCGGGACCCTACTTTGCCCGTTCCCCGGAGATTCCACGGGTTCCTCGGGGTCCTCGGGGTCCTCGGGTTCCTTGGGTTCCTAGGGTTCCCTGGGTTCCTCGGGTTCCCTTGGTTCCTCGGGTTCTTCCTCGGGTTCCCCTGGATCCTCGGGTTCCCCGAGGGTTCGTCGGGTTCCCCGGGTTTCCAGGGTTCCTCGGGTTTCTCGGGTTTTTCTTCGGGTTCCCCGGGTTCCTCGGGTTCTTCGGGTTCCTCGGGTTTCCTAGGTTTCTCGGGTTCTTCCTCAGGTTCCCTGGGTTCCCTTGGTTCCTCGGGTTTCTCGGGTTCCTCGGGTTTTTCCTCGGGGTCCCCGGGTTCCTCGTGTTCTTCGGGTTTCTCGGGTTTCTTTGGCTCCTCGGGTTCTTCCTCGGGTTCCCTTGATTCCCTTGGTTCCTCGGGTTCCCGAGGGTTCGTCGGGTCCCTCGGGTTCCCCGGGTTCCCTGGGTTCCCCGGGTTCCCAGGGTTCCCCCGAGGGTTCCTCGGGTTTCCTGGGTCCTCTGGGTTCCTCAGGTTCTTTCTCGGGTTCTTCGGGTTTCCTAGGTTCCTCGGGTTCTCTGGGTTCCTCGGGTTCCCCGGGGTCCCAGGTTCATCGGATCCCCCAAGTTCCCCAAGCAATGCCAAGCAGTGCCAAGCAATGCCAAGCAATGCCAAGCGAGCCAAGCAATGCGAAGCAACGCCAAACAATGCCAAGCAATGGCAAGCACTGCGCCCATGCAATATGACATTTTCCCCTAACTGGGGTCGCTCTGGGCTCATTCTACATCTTCTCCACGCTTCGCCCACTCAGCCCACGCAGAAACGCTGCGGATGAGGCCATATTGTGGCCCTGTTGGGGCTGTCTTGCGGCCCTTCAGGATGCCCTGCAAGACCTCTTAGGGATACCTTGTAGGGCAACGATCATACAGTGGGGGTCCCCGATGTTCATCCCCCTCTCAGGCCATCAAACTTGCCCCTTCGGGCGCTCGTGGGACAGACACTCTTGGGCGCTCTTGGGGCCGTCTTTGGGGCCTCTGGGGCCCCCATTGTGGGTCTATTGGGCCATCTTGGGGCCCTTTGGGGGGCTATTGGGGCAAAGGCGAAAAAGCAAACATCATTGATTGTCCTTAGGTGTTTGAAGGATTGGGGCATCTTGGGGGGTCTTGAGGGGGCTCCCAGAGCACTTGGAGCCGTCTTGTGGTTTAAGCATGTCGGAAGCTATCATTTACGATTATAGTTTGCCATCTTGGAGGCCATTTTGGAGCATCGGACGCCCACATGGAGCAATCTTGTGCGCTCTAACCCATCGCGCCGCCCCCCGACCCCCAGAAACATCAGGGAGGGGAGGGGGAGGATATACCCCTCCCCGAAGGGAAGAGGGATTACACAACGAGTTC